ATAAGAAAGGAAAAGAGAAAATAGAAAAAGTTGAAATAACGAAAAAAGAAATTCTCTGATAGCATTTTATGGTTCTCATTTATCATCTATCAATTTCCGACTTGTCTATTTGTCCTTTATGTTTACATTTTGACAATAGCTAAAATTGATTAAAATTTAAATTTTGCTAACATTGCTTTTATTACAATGTTTTTTTTTTTTTTTTCCTTTAAATTCTGTAAAATTTTGTTGTATAGTAAATATTATCATTTCTTTCATTTCATCTTGTTTTTTTTTTTCTTTTTTTACAACATTTTACAACGTAAACTAATGTATGTAAAAACTTTCACATAAATTGTATGAATGTAGAAAATGTAATAAATTTCTTTTTTTATTGTTTCAAATTTTAACAAAATTTGATGTAAAATATTGAATTGCTGCTATTGCAATATTAGAATATTAATCATTTTGTTTATTTGCAAATTTGAAAATTGCTAGCAAAATTGTTAAATAAAATGTTATTGCATTAAAAGAAAAAAACAAAAAAAAAAAGAGAATAAATTGAACAAAGAGAAAGAAAGATGAAGAGAAAGAAAAAACGAAGAATGAGAATAGGAAAAATGAAATTAGAAAAGATAAATTGTGAACGATAAAAATAAATTTGAGGAGAAAAATAATATATAGCCTTATGACATTATTCATGTTAACTTTTACTTTTAAAAATTAAAATGAAAGTTAAATATTGTCATATTGTTTATTTGTCACATGAAATGAATTCCTTTCTTGAAATGAAATAATGGTAATTAATTACAAGAATGTTATTCTTACAAAGTAATCAATTGTATGAGATAAATATAGCAGAATGTAGTATTAACAATGAAATTGGAAAAAACATTTTTGGAAAGTTAAAATTGTATTTTAGGCATATTTAATTAATCTAAAGCTAATTAAACTGAAAAAATTGCCATTGCTATCGTTGTTGCAATTGCTTTTATTTTATTATTTTTTTTAAATATGTTAATTCAGTAAAAAAAGAAAAATTATTTTTTAATATGAATTTTTCAAATTTTCAATTTTTTTTTTATTTCAATAAAATATAAAAAAAAAATATTTAAAAGAAAAAATGAAATACTATAGAACATTTCATGATATTATTCTATATTTAAATATAATAAGTCAGGCAATTTTATTTTAAAGATTTAAATCAATAACTACTTCAAATGTACCAATCCGTTTCATTTATATTCATCCTTCTTATTTTTATTATTCATATGTAAGACGAAATTAAAAACTGACCTTACACACTTTCAAATCATTTTTCACAGTAAAATCAATTATCTCATTTAAATCAATTTATCCTCCTAATTTTTAATACCATCATTATCATTTTGATAATTGCCACATTCATTCAAAAATTGTTAAAAAGCATTGATTAAAAATATTTTAAAGATTTAAAAAAATATGCCTACATTTAAACTAATAGCACATGCATTCAATAATAGAAAAAAGATGAATATAGGAGTATATATTCATACTTATTTCATATTTATTGGAATGCAAATAAATGGAAAAAAATGTTGAAAGAATCATTAGGCAATGATTTATTAAGAATTTCTAATTATTTCATCTTTTCTTCCTCTTTTTTTTTTGTTGTGTTTAAATTTTGTTGAACAATTGCTCTAACTAGCTTATAGCTTACCTTTCTTTTCATCACAAATATCATCTCATCATATGATGGTAATTAAATGAGAAATGTAAAATGGTGAAAAAAAAGTGATAGGTAAAATTTTCCTAATTATATTAATTATTGCACTGTTAAACTATTGGTTCATATGATATGGTTCAATTTTTAAATTTAATTTAGTCAGATTTTTGCACAATTTTTTTTTTTTTTAAATAAAAAAGGAAAAGTTTGAAGTTAAATTATTTGATTGAGATGGAGAAATGTTCAAAAGATAAACAACATGAATAAAGCATAATGAATTGATAGAATAAAGTTTTAAACTTCATTCATTTCTTCGGTGTAGATAAGGATATCGCTAAAATGATCACTATCATTTAAACTTTATGTATTAAAATTTTATTCTTATATATTTCAAACATCTAGTTTCGTATTTCAAATATTTTGTTTCAAAGACACAAAATTTGCTGCTAGGAATTTGCAATAACTGATCAACAATAATAACATAGTTCAGATTTATCAAAGATAAGTTAAAATTTAAACTAACAGTGATATATGATAAATGGCAATAAATGTTTTCTAAATAATGTCAATATGGAAGTCAATAAAGTTTAAGTCAATAAAATCAATAAAGTCAATAAAATTTTTTGATCCATAGAGAAATCTGATATGATTAAAAGTGAAATTATCACAATTACAAAAAGTAATAAATTTCTTTTGCCAAAATATGTTGCGAATTAATGCTAAGAATGTATGAAGAATGCATGAAGAAAGCAATCTATTGAAATTATAATTAGATAAGCCAAAATAAATAAATTGATAACACTGATAACGTGATGATAATTTTTGGATAATATCAAAAGCATTAGTGATAACAATATAATTTATTCAATCACTGAATATTTGCTTCATCAGTTATTGCAATCTTAAGCGAAGCAATAATCATTCATCGCTATCATTGATACTATCAAATTTCAATCAATTTAACCCTTCAATAGTATAAAATTCCAGTTTCACTTTCAACATTGTTCAAAATTATTCAAACAACTGCAATTTAATTATTGCTATAATTAATCAATAGATCATTTCCAAAAAAAAATGCATAATATTTTCGGATGAATGAAATATTATTTTAATAGCTTATCAATTTATTGATAAAATAATAGTAACAATTATTAACTGACTGATTTACTGATTAGAAACAAAAATAGTCACATCAAATATTGAAGTAAAGGCTGTATATTTTTTATCAAGAAAAAGTACAGCACAAAACATTGAAGGATGGAACTGATTAGTTTGATTAATTAATGGAAGAAGGAAAATTTTATAAAAATAATAGGTATAAAATAGTCATAAAATGTTAAAAATAAAATAACATTTTTCATTAAAAAAAATACTAATTTTCCATTAATGAAATATTAATTCGAATTTATAATGAAATATTATAAATTCGAAGATATCATGATTTAAAAATTTAATTTAAAACAGATAAAATAATGGTGGTAAAATATAGTTTCAAACACAAAAATAACAAATGTCCAAATTTAATTCACCTCTTTAAACAAGAAAATTATCAAACTGAATGAATTAATTGTGCTTATAAGAATGACTGATTTCAATTATAACAAATATTTTTGTGTAATTTATTTAAATTATTCCAATTAAATTATTCCACTTTCAAAAGAAGTCAATAATCAGAACATACTGCTCTAAAAATAAAAAGAAAAAAACCACAGAACAATCAAATATCAAAATCAGTTGATAAGTCACTAATATCTTTGTTTTTAGAACGCTAGCAAATATGCTGGAACTAAAGTAGAATTATAATTACATTTGCTAAAAGCTAAATATATCAAAAAAAAAGGAGGCAATTAAATTTGTTCATAAAAATGATCAAATTAAACTTGAAGTATTATTTTTCAAGTAAAATGTTTTTTAATTACTTAATCACTATTTTTAATTCGTTAAAATTAAACATTTCAATTCCAAGATTCCTGCAAATACAGTTTGTTTAAGCATACATTATCAATGAAAATTTTCTTGGAACAACAATTTTAACTGAAAATTAAAATTAAGAAAATTGTTATTTGAAGAATGGAAAGATAAATTTATACTATGAGAAATTCGACAATGAAAAAATTTCATTCACTATGAAAGTTAGCTTTCCTTTCTGACATGGTTCACGCTCATAATCTGTAGACAAATAAAATCAAAACAAGAAAAAAAGAACATTCTTTTTTCACATAAGGTGATATCTAAATAAAGTAAATTCAAATTAAACGTTTTATTCGTAAGTTAACGTCATTTAACGTTTTACTCTAAATAAATTAAGTTGAAAGTAAGAACTCCATTTTGGCGTAACAAACGCCTCCATTCCACGTTCTTTTATCAGGTCGGTACCATCCGTAAAATATCTTAAATTTCACAAAGTCCCATTTCATCATTTGCGACAGAAATGCAACGCTTTGGTTTCATATCAGATAGGTTTATAAGATAGGTAAGGAAATGTTGTAGAAGTTTTGAAAATTTGAAAAGTGAGGGAGTGCACTAATTAATGAGCAAATGCTAATGAATCAAAGATTGAAAGGACAGAAAAAAAGATATTATAAATTGTGAATAAGTAAGATTACTATAGATTGAGAGAAAGAATAATCTAAATTGTTAATATATGAGGAATTTTTCCTCTCATCCATTTTTGGTGCAAGTTTTTTTTTTTTTTTGCATTATTCTCACTCCCATCTCTTCTCTCCTAACCTGACAATTTAATTCAAATTTGATGAAATAGAATAAATGAACTAAAGCTTGATCATTATTTTTGTTTTCGAACATATAAAGTAAAAAAGAAAAGTGATGATTGAAGAAATTTTTAATTAGTTCTATTCAAATCCTATTCAATTTTAAAAAGTTGTCATTACATAATAGTGTTTGAATTGATTCATTTAGCACATATTTAGAGGTTTTAATGAGGATATTTTGATCTGTAATGAATGAAATTAACACATATTGGATGAGAAATGTATCATCATATATATCATATTTGTCACTAAATATAAGCAATGTTCTGATAGTTCTTTAGATTTTTCCAATGTAATTTTAGTCTTACTGTGCTTGGAGTATTTCGGCATGGATGTAATTGTAGGCGAGCAAAATTATTGGATTGCCAGATTTATATCAAATTTCAGATTCTAAATTTCATCAATTTTTATGACAAAAATTATTACATTTTATTATAAAATCACCATAAAGTATGTTATATGTTGTACTGTCGTTTTTTTTCTTTTTTTTTTTTTACTTGATATTTGTTGATTTCAGCCAGAGAAAAAAGTATTTAACTGCCAAGATGACTGTTAAAGAGAGAAAAAAAGTAGCGGAACTTTTGGAAATGGAAGCGAAGATTCAGAAGCTATGGTCAGATGCGAAAGTATTTGAAATGGATGCTTCCAGTGACAAGTAATTATATTTCTGAACTATCAGTAGTTTTCACCTTTCCTTTTTTTCAGTTTGCAAGTTTCCTTTTTTTTGAAATGGTTCTGTAAGGTCTTTGTGTTACAGAAACAAATTTCAGATCTGAGCCCAAATATATGGCAAACATACCATATGCATACATGAATGGTCGTCTTCATTTAGGACATTCTTTCACGATATCAAAAACCGAGGTTCGTTTTATTCAGACTTTACCTTATTTAACTAATACTTTGTAAGCCTTACTTTATTTAATTAAGATTTTATAACCATAATTGTTGAGAAATACCGTAACATAGTACTATACTTCGAACTTTTATCAAAAATGCCTTTATTTTAGCAAAGTTTGTCATGTTTCTACTAAAATCATTTCAGTTCGCGATAGGATTTCAACGGCTGTTGGGAAAACGCTGTCTGTTTCCGTTTGGTTTACACTGCACTGGTATGCCAATCAAAGTCTGTGCGGATAAATTAAAGAGAGAAGTAGAAGAATTCGGATACCCACCAAATTTTCCAGATGATGATAATGATAGTAAAATGCCAACCGAAGAGAACAGTGTTATAGAGGAAATTATCAAAGATAAAAGTAAAGGGAAAAAGGTTTTTATTTACCAACAATACTATGTTTTCGAATTTTTGAAATTTCTCTTTCTGTTGCCATTGTGTCGTATACTACCCGTCTTTCCAGAGTAAAGCTGTCGCAAAAACTGGAGGAGCGAAATATCAATGGCAAATTATGAAAATGCTGGGTTTAGATGATTCAGAAATCATCAAATTTACAGACGCAAGCCATTGGCTTGATTATTTCCCCCAACTTTGCATTAGTGATGTTCAGAAAATGGGTCTCAAGGTCCTTAATTTTCAAATCATTGATATTTTATAGATGTATGGTTTGGTTTTGAAGATCTATATATGAAGCTCTATAATTATGTTCTTCGTTTAGTGCAGTTCGTATCTCTAGCGATATTCTTAATTGTTTTGAAGATAGCTTTGATTGCGATTTTTAGCGACATTCGTAATTGGTTCTGAAGATAACTTATTTAGATTGATTGGCGACGTACCTTTATCACTACTGACCGCAATCCTTACTATGATTCATTTGTTTGCTGGCAATTTCGGAAACTACGTGAAGCTAAAAAAATCGATTTTGGCAAGCGTTATACAATATATTCTCCAGGTGATGGGCAACCATGCATGGATCATGATCGATTGGCTGGAGAGGGTGCTGGACCTCAAGAGTATACACTTATCAAATTGAAGGTCTAAGGATTAATTTTCAAGAATAGGTCCTTTTTTATAGTATTTGTTTTCAAATTATTATTTCAGATTCTTGAACCATTACCAGAGTTCCTAGCAAAAAGTGAGAAAAATGTTTTTTTGGTAGCTGCAACATTGAGACCTGAAACAATGTATGGACAAACGAACTGTTTTATTCATCCGGATATTGAGTATGAATTATAATTCCCATCAAAATAATCAAATTTAAAGAAGGAATAAGAAGTTTGACTGATATAAAGTGGTAATTGGTTAAATTGCTTTGTGTTTTAAGTGTTTTCGGTATATTTAAACTTACGGAAATATAGAAATAGAACTCTTAATTTTGAAGTGTAATATTTCACGAGTGTTTTCAGCCTTTTATTATATATTTTTATTTAAGGTATTGTGCTTTTTATGCTGGCCAAAGAGAAACTGAAGTTTTTGTAGCAACAAAAAGAGCAGCAAGGAATATGAGTTATCAGGAAATGACTGCTGAAAATGGAAAAATACGATTTGTTGATGGTGCTGAAAAGGTCCCATTTTTCAATTATTAATTTCACTACTCTTTGTTTGCACAGTTTTCGTTATGATATTTTCAAGAATGTTTTAACTCTACGGGTAATTTTGGAATTTTTAGATATTGGGCAAACAATTGCTTGGTTTGGCATTAAAAAGTCCTCTAACGAAATATGATCGTATCTACTCATTACCTATGCTTACGATCAAGGACGATAAAGGTTAATTTATATTTTCGTGTTTCAAGAGAAAAATGAATAATGTAAGTTATAGCCTCATAACGATCAATCTTAATATAATAGTAATACCAATGGTATTGCTATCATATAATGATTTTCTTCCTCTGTGCATTTATTATTTATAAGATTTTTATTTTGAACGCATGGATTTTTTGTTTGCTAAAAAATATCCATATCTGCTTACAGGCACCGGTATTGTGACCAGTGTACCGTCTGATTCGCCGGATGATTATGCGGCTTTAATGGATTTGAAGAGGAAAAAGCCGTTGCGAGAAAAATTTGGTATAAAAGATGAAATGGTGCTGCCATATGAGCCGGTAATTACGCACTGTCTTTATGTTTCTGGAAATTGATTCGTGGCTAATTCGCTTTACAATCATACTTTCTGCCATAGTAAAACAAATGATTTCATAGAAATTTTAAATTCCAGTCTTTCTTAATTAGAATTTGCCAAGAGCGCAAAAGCTCATGTCGAGCACAATTTTTTCAGATTCCAGTTTTGAAGATACCAGAATATGGAGAAATGGCTGCCGTTTATCTTTGTCAAAAAATGAAGATTGAAAGTCAAAATGACCGAGACAAATTAGCAGAAGCCAAGAAAGAAGTGTATCTGAAAGGATTTTATGATGGCGTATGTATTTAACATGTTAATTTGTTTGTAATACATCGAGTTATTATCTGGTTTTTCAGAAAAGTTGAATTTGGGGATTCTAGGTGATGGTGACTGGTAAATACGCTGGACAAAAAACTGCAGAAGTAAAGAAGGAAATTCGAGAGGAATTGATTACATCCGGAGAGGCAACATTGTTTGTTGAACCCGAAAAGAAAGTTGTATCGCGTTCTGGTGATGAATGCGTTGTGGCTTTATGTGATCAATGGTATGTCTCGAGAATAAAAAAAATAGATTATGTAATAAGGAATTCTTTAATGCATAAAATCAGATATGATTTAACATATGTTTCGAAGCATTAGTAAATTTATTAATAGTATTTCCTTTGTAATATAGTGAGAGCATTCAACAAGATAATACAAAAAAAAAAAAGGAATCAAAGTGTGTGAACCAACTTTTTTTACGAATTTCTTTCTTTTTCTCTCATAAAAAAAATAATTATGTGGCAAATCATCTGATCATTCATCCCTCGATAATGTCGATTTTTATTCTTGTTGTTTGTTGAATTAAAAATCTGTTTTACACATAAGTTTTTTTCTTTTTTTATTTGTTTATTCCTGGCAGGTATTTAAATTATGGTGATGAAGAATGGAAGAAGGAAGCGAAAAAAGCTTTGGCTCAACTGAATACATATACAGAAGATGTAAATTTTTGAACAAATGTTTGTTTTTAGAATACCTAGCTGTAGATTAATTATCGTAAATAAATGCAATTTAGTTTCTAAATAATTATTTTTAGGTTCGAAAAAATTTGGATGCGACGATTGACTGGTTGCATGAGCATGCTTGCTGTCGATCATATGGTTTAGGTTCAAGATTGCCATGGGATCCTCAGTATCTTATTGAATCACTTTCTGATTCAACAATATATAACGCCTACTATACAGTGGCACATCTTCTACAAGGTGGTACTATTGATGGAAGCGTTATTGGTCCGGCTGGAATCAAGTACTTTTCAAAAGTTTGAATAAATGTAGTAAAATTCAAGAAATATCTAAAAGACTCTATAGATATCCAATAATTCTTCATTTACAGAGCATCGGATATGGTTGATGATTGCTGGGATTACATATTCTTAAATAAGCCTTACAATGCGAAGACAATGCCGGTCCAAGAATCACAATTAGCTCTATGCAGAAAAGAATTTCTTTATTGGTAAATTTCTCTATTCTGTTTATTCATAGATATATTTCAGTATCAGGAAATAATTACATCATTTCTTTTTTATATAGAATTTTAGGCAGGAAGAGGAAAAAAAATATATTAAATCATAGCTTTTGTTAACGCCCATGATTATTCAGTGGAAGCATTTTTCGAGTTGTACATACATTAAACTTATTCATTTGTAATGAATTGAAGTTTCTGCGCATTTTTAAGGTACCCGGTTGATATGCGTGCTTCCGGTAAAGATCTTCTACAGAATCACCTTACGTATTACTTGTTTAACCACGTTGCCATCTGGAAAGATCAACCTGAATTGTGGCCTAGAAGCATACGAGCAAATGGACATCTGTTACTAAATAATGAAAAGGTTTCATTGTCTTACTTTACAGTTGTTTATATCTTAATATGTTAGCGAAAGCTTTTTTTATCGAGTTTTATTTTTTTTATTACTGCAGCAATATCTCAAATAAAACATTTCAGATGTCCAAACAAACAGGCAATTTTCTAACTCTTAGCGAAACTGTGGGATTGTTCTCGGCTGATGGAATGCGTATTTCTTTGGCGGTAAACTATTAAATTTCCTCTAATATATCCAATATTCAAAAAGACAGTATTTGTCCCACCGATCTGCTTATTATTTCACATTGTGATACAATGTGGCATCCTTCCTTAGTGACTTATCTCTTCTTCACTATATCATTTAAACTAAATCTCAAAGATGAAACATATTTAAATTACACTTTGATCGTTACCTTAACTACTTGTATTACGGAATTTTTGCTCTTAAAGATTAACACTTCCAATTTCAGGACGCAGGAGATTACGTGGAAGATGCAAATTTTGTTTATGATATGGCTGATGCAGCAGTACTGCGTTTATACAATCTTCTTGTATGGTCACGTGAAATGGTTGCTTTACGAGAACAGAACATCTTGCGCAGTGGACAGAAACTTACTTTTGCTGATCAGGTTTTCGACAATGAAATGAATAGCGCAATTCAAAAAACATTTGATAGCTATGAGCAAACGCTTTTCAAGGAAGCTTTAAAACACGGATTTTTTGAATATCAGGTAACTTGACGAGATTTTTTTTTCTTATTTTTTCGCAGATTGATAAAATAATTTTTTTTTTTTTGTTATTATTGGTTATTTTGTTCACATTACTGTACTGAGTGTTTTATTAGTCTGAAGCTGTAAAAAAAAAAAAAAAAAAAAAAGAAAAAAAGGGGTGCTTAAAAGAGTGCACTATGGTATGCTGAAATATGAAATAATCAGCATCACAACCTATATAGTGTTGTATTAAATGATTAAATTAACTAACAGAAATTTCATGCTTACTCTGTTTTATTGAATAATTTTAAACTTTATGCTATTTTTCAGGGTTATCGTGACAAATATCGCGAGCATTGTGGAGGCGATACTGAAATGCATGTTGATATGGTTTTCAAATGGATTGAAACACAAGCAATTATTTTATCACCAATTTGCCCTCATGTATCTGAGCAGATATGGCAGATTTTAGGAAAGGTTATACCAGTGGAATTCTTATAATTTGATATGCCATTCTTAGCACTAAGAATGTTTCTGCAATTTTTATTGTTCAATAAGGAACAATATTAAATTATTAATGTTTAACTTATAGGATGGCTTTATTGTGTGTGCAAAATGGCCTATCATCCCACCTGCTGATGATCTGATAACAAAAAAAGCCGAATTCATGGATGATACAATCAGAGTTTGCTTTCAAATTATCATACATTAGTTTTTATTGGTTCTGCTGATTGCTTTTGTTAAAAATGATTTTCTTTGTAGATTATGATCTTGTTTGTACTGGAGTAAATTTTAGTTCATTTGCAGGATTTCCGATTACGTTTGAAAAATCACATGAATTTGAAACAAAAAAGGGTAAAGATACAAATCCGCCGTCGGAAGCAATAATATACTTTGCAGAAGAATATCCATCTTGGCAAAAGGAAGTGCTTGGCTTATTGAATCAATGTTATCAGGTTTGATTTTTTTTATTAAATCCATTACTTTTTTTTTTTTTTTTTATTAAAGCCACTTTCATTTTATTACTCAGTTGAATTATGCTAATATGAAGGATATTTGTGACATTATCTATAGTTTCTAACTAATTACTGAGTTTCATTCCAGGAAGGCAATGGTGAATTACCGGATAACAAAGAGATATCTCGTCGCTTAGGTGCAATAGAGAGTTTAAAGAAGTTTATGAAAAAAACGATGCCTTTCGTTCAACTGATACGTGAAAACTTAGCAATACACGGTGAATCAGCCCTGGATATTGCTTGTAGATTTGATCAGAAAGAAGTTTTGGAGCAGGTTTTGATGTGTTTCTTTTTGTTTTAACTGATATTTGTTGTTGAAAAGTTTGCTTTGCAAATTTTTGTTTAAAATTTACTTATAATAATTCACGTTTTATACTTTTTTTTAATTCACGTTTTATTTTTGTTAGCTTCATGTTTTATTGATTCTAGAATTTGGATTACATATTATCAGCTTTGGATCTGGAAAGTGTTACCATTACTGATGTAAGAGGAGTAGTGCCAGCAAATGTAGTAGAAATGACTTGTCCTGGAAAGCCGATCATAATGTATAAAGAACAGGAAGTAAGTTGCTTGTTCATTCATTCATTCATTCATTCATTTCTTAATATTTCATAGTATTTTATGTGTTTTTGTGATAAATTTTGAAAATTATTAGTGCTTCTAATTCATCATATTTATGCTAGCAGCACTGTTTGATATTTATAGCCTGGTATTACCATTACATTTCGAAATGTAGATCCTTGTTCTGGTCTGTTTGATATTGAAATACCAATTATAAATGGCGATACTGTAGCAATCATTATTCGGCGTTTGAAGAGAGTTTCAAAAGATCTTAAACGTAAGTTTCAATTTTGATTCTAGTATTTCAGTTCAGGATGTTGAAATTGTCGGTTTGAAAGAAATTTGCTTATCTGAATTCGTGATGATTTATTTGAGAAGTTTTGGAATATGTTGCTTTCAGCTAAACAAACTGTTTCTTTGTGGCGATATTTGGATCCCTTAGGTGGCGATAGGAAGTTGATACGATCAAAAAATTCGTTAGAAAATAACGAACGAATTCCTGATTCTGGTAAGCTTTTTTGTCTTTTTTTTTTTTTAAGAGTATATTATATAATTTATGCTCGAGCTCAAGAAATTGACTGTTAAAATTTATTTACAGCACAATTCAAAGTGGATATTCAGAGTGGAAAAATTTATCTGCAGAATAACGGCAACAAATTTTATTTGGGCAACACAATAGTATATAGGAGTTCCAATTGATCTGTGTTTCTCTTTTTATTGTATTAAGAATGATAACTTATTTCACTTCAGTGTTTATTCCATATAAACTGTGTATTATGCCATTCGTCTTTTTTTGTAGTGATAAGTGACATAGATTGTTAATAATGTCAATTATATGATGTCGTTGCTGTTATTTGTTGATTCTTTCGATTTTTTTTTGAATCTTTCTGATTTTTTTACTTTGTTTTTCTTCGTTTTTTCAAATTTTTATACAAGCTTCCTTAGTTTTTCTTTTTCTTGTCTTCTAACTACTTGACATTAGAAGGGTGGTTATTTCTAACCAACTTTTTTGTTTCTCCTTTTTCTAATTTTAATTTTATCTGGTTCGCATAAGATTGGCGGTAATAAACTATATGAACTAAACTGTTATTTTGTTTTCTTTAATGTTGTTTTCAGATAAATATGATTAATTCATATCGTTTATCATTCGTTACTATAAAATACGGAATACATATTGCCTTGAATAGCAATGAGGCCCATTTCCTCCTGTTGAATATCAGATGAAAAGTAGAACACGGAGTGAGGAATATGAATTATTGATGAATGTTTGTTGGGGATAGAAATTGATTGATCTTATGTTCTTTATCAATATAATTCAAATCTTTTTATTATACCAGGTATTAATTAGCTTGCTAATTAGTTTGGATGAAATTCGTGGTAAAAACAAATTCGCATGGAACATAATGGAAAGGATTACTCTTCTGGTACAACGCCATTTCTCCAGCAGATAATGGCTGCGTCTTCTGGTGCTATTATAACCTCACTACTAAGTTAGTTTTCTCATTTTTAAATTACTATTTGCTATAAGAAGCTAACTTTTGAAATTTACATTTAAATTTTAATTTCTATGCTTCTAATTTAATTACTAGGAACATCACGTAAATCGAAATTTTCTATTCGTAATACAGTTTTATGTATACTTACTAACAAATGTAGTAAGATATGAGATATTCGCTGATTGAATTAGTTTGATCAATCAGTTGCTATAGAATACAATTTGAGTGTTATGGAAACAGAAAACTGATTTAATAGTTGGGATAACTGATTTTCGCAAAACTATGAAAAAGGAAGAAACTTCTGGCTTCATTTTTTTATCTAATCTTTTGACTTTACTATATTCAAATAAGATTTTATCCATACTTATTAATCCTAACATATTTTTTCAATCTGGTCTTCTCTCTCCCCTCTTTAACTCCTATTCTTCTTGTAAAATATGAAAAAAAAAGTTGTCTTTCATCTAATTTTGTTATTTTTCTTTAAAATAATCAATGGTATGTTCATTTCAGTGACACCAATGGATGTCGTAAAAATACGATTGCAGCAACAAGCGCATCCTTTTGTTAAAGGCACTTGCTTTTTGTATTACAATGGTTTGATGGATCATTTGTGTACAGCTTGTGCTGATGTGAATTCTAAAGAACCATGCGAATGGTTTGCAAGACCAGGAAATTTTACAGGAACGATGGTAACATTTTTTTTATTTTTTATTTAACGAAAATTAAAATTTCAATAGAAGCACTTGTTATCTTTTAATAGCTATTGCAATAATTTCAATTCAAATAATATTAAGGATTTTCAAGAAATATTGAATTTTCAGGATGCATTGTTCAAAATTTCAAGGACAGAAGGGATTCGTTCACTGTGGAGTGGGCTTTCTCCGACACTGTAAATTATTCACATTAATTTTAATGGTAGAAATTAGTAATAAGTAACGTTCAAATTAAGCATTTCTAGGATTATGGCTATACCGGCAACAGTACTTTACTATACAGTTTACGATAATATGTTGTGCTGGTTGAGAGAGAAATATAATCAGAAATCTCACTGGATTCCTTTGGTTGCTGGTTCATCTGCCCGTCTGGTTGCCCTCACTATTGTTTCGCCAATGGAACTGATAAGGACAAAAATGCAAAGTGAACGACTTACATATAAAGGTACTTACACATAAAGGGTTTAAATTCAAATTCAGTATTGAAATCAGAACCTTACAAAGTAATATTTACATGTATGCAAACGTAAAAGATGTTGAAGTTAGGCTTTAAGACTTTAAAAGCGTGAATTGATTTTTTCTGAAATTATCTTTTTTTTTTTTTTTTTGAATGATGTATATTCTGTGTAGTTATTAAGTAACTAAATTGATGTCACAGTTACTTCTCTATTTTTTAGTGCTAATGTTGATATGTAATTTAAAAATTTTTTGGAGCTTTTAAAATGTTTAGCATGAAATAGTCACTGTAAATATTATTTTATATATTTACTTTGCTTTCAGATATTGGATTAGCTTTTCAACGATCGAAAGCAGCTGAAGGATGGATCAGTTTGTGGCGTGGTTGGGGTCCTTTGCTAATGCGTGATATGCCGTTTTCTGGTTTGTAATTTTGCATGAATTTTTTGTATTATTTGGAAATTAATTTGTAGCTCTTTTTTTTACTAAACAAAGTAAATTTCAGCTGTGTATTGGACAGGATATGAATATTTGAAAGCGAATGCTTTACAAAGATTCAATCAACGGGAAACAAATTTTTTGATTAGTTTTATATGTGGTGCAATGGCTGGTTCAGTTGCAGCATTTGTAACAACTCCGTTTGACGTCATTAAAACTCATCGTCAAATTACTTTAGGAGAGGTTGTAGCCAATCAATTTTATTTGTTTTCTTCAAAAAATTCTAACGAAAGCTTAGCACGAGATTTGAAGCAATGAAGCAGAGTTAATCAATATATGTGAAGTGTATTTGTGAGAAATTGAAACTAAGCAATCAAAAATCTAATTCGTAGATGAATTAAATAAACCGATGTCATTCATCAAATCATTTGGCATTTTTTGTTTCAGAGAGCTTGTAATATTTCGGATATTTAGCAAAGATATGAAAGGACAAGTTATGATAATGCAAAAAAAAAACCTTGTAATTACATATTGTTCTATAAATTGTCTTCAATTAATTTAGGTAGAGAATATAAAGCAGATAAGAGGACATAATAATGGGAGTATGAAAGTGACAAAAAACTGTGGCTGTAATACAGTTATCACAGAAAGACGTGATATGGAAATTCGATCAAAGCGCTCTTTCGGTATTATGAAAGAACTTTATGAAAAGAAGGGATTCAGATCTTTGTTTGCGGGTAATTAATTTATGATCATTTGTCTGTAGAATAAAATGTACAAAAGAAGTATTTTCCGAAGTATAAATTTTTGAATCGACACATTTTTTTTCCATTCATTTCTTATGTATTGCAGGGGTGGTGCCACGTGTAACAAAAGTTTCGTTTGCGTGTGCTGTAATGATAAGTAGTTACGAGTATTGTAAACTATTCTTTAAAAAAATGAATAGCTTATGATGATGCAAAACTCTTTTTGCTGATTTCTTATTGCCTATTTTCTTTGTTACCAATATTCTACTCATACACTGGTTTGTACAAACTAATAATTCCACTCTTGTTAAGTATCAAATGATTTGGTTTAATATTGGTAGCAAATTCAGGTACCAATTTGTTTCACTCTGTTACTGTTTTTTTTTTTATCCATAGTTTATTGCTTTAGAGTTGTGGTAAAATGGATCCACTTTCTGTGTTGTTTTTCTTTAAAAGATTTGCACCAAAAAGAAAAATTTCTCCTTAATTTGTGGTACATCTTCTAGATCGGCTACTTTCTTTTACTTTAAACTGCTGTGATGGAATAATAATTCATTTACCAGTGAGCTGAAAAATCATTAATAATGAATATCTACAACAAATAAATTTGAAAATTCATAATGGGGAAGCCACCTTATTATTTATTAGAAATCTTTTAGTAATGAAGCGGTGCAGTTCTCTTATATATTTTTGAAGGTAGGCTTGGACAAAATTTAGACTTAACTCATCATCTGAAATCATATATGCATAAATAATTAGATTATCAGAAAATGTTCTATATCATTTTAATTGATAGTAAAATGACTAGAGAGAGCCATTTAAATAGATTTCTTGTGATTTTCAACGGATAAGAATTTGCTGTATCAATAAAGCAAGAAAAAGAAATCTGTATTCAATGCATAAGAGCAACTATTAACATTATAAAGTAAAAAGCAATAAAATTTATATCAGATGAGGTTTCAAGCAAACACATGAGAATATGGAATAATCAGTTAATGGTGAATGCTTAAATATGACAAAAAGTCCAGAATCAACTCACTCCTTAATATTATCTCTTTAGAAATTTTATTGATAATCCTACTTACAGGAATAATTTATAAATGTCTAACAAAGTTAACTGCATAAACCTAACAGATTATAATGACAAAATAAAAATATAATTCATATTTCAATAGTTACTGAGAACATTTGAGGAGAAAAAAGTCATTTCATAACTATTGTTGTTGAGTGTTAATTTCATGGCATAGCTTTGATTCTAGCTGTTTGTTCTTCAAGCTCCTTTGCGATTTCGGGAGGAAGGTCTGAGCCAACCTGAAAAGTAAGGAATGAATTCCATTTGAATTGAAATCATTTATCACGAATTATACTGCTCTAAATTACCTAGTACTTGCAGTTGTGAAATGACTTACCTGCTGTTCGAAGAAATGCTTGGTTTCTTCCATATCCTCTACCCAATACTTTTTCGGTAATGACATCAACTCAGCCCAATTAATGTTTGGAAGACCACTGAGGTTAATCGAACCTAAATTTGCCATCTTTTCTTGAAAGGAAAACTTCATATAATTCTAAATCGCCCACAACAGCAAAAGCAAAGTCTACTTTTTCATTTCTTCTTTATTTCTTCTACACTTACCTTCTTTCGGTATATAACCAATTGGAGACTCAAAGCCGATACTGTCATCACCATCACAACGTCTCAAAATCCAGTCCAAAACACGAATATTTTCCCCATAACCAGGCCATAAGAATTTGCCATCTGCAGTTGTACGAAACCAATTGACATGGAAAATCTTCGGTACCTTTAATAAATCGATTTAGAATATTTCGTTCATTGAAAAATTTATATTAAA